TTGGCTGTGACAGCCTCAAAATGACCTTAATTTTTGCTGGCAGAGGCATCATGGGCTGGTCCTTCACTGTTTCCAGGGCAGCCCCGCAGGCCAGATCTAAGCACCCTGTGAGCTGGATTTGGACCCCGAGCCTTGAGTTTGACACCCTTGATCTAAACAATCTGGTTTATACATGGATGTAACCACCATTACAACAGAGCTTCACAGGAAACGGACCAGGAATTTTTTTTTAAAGAAAAATGTAACATTGCTAATTATTTTGATACTTGAGATCATGTCAAGCTGCATTAGAGTTACATTGAGTTATGCATAAAATTTAAGAATCATTTAGTTAAATACCTTTTTGAGAACTTGAAGTTAAGCCATGTTCTCCATCAGGTAGATTAACGTTTTATGTAAATTGAAAAGCAAAGATATACAAGTAGAGCATTGACCATCTAGTTGTAAAATGTAAGTATCTGTGAGACATAAACAGTAATTATAATAATAATAAAAAAAACCAGGTGGATCAGTGACTATTTTTCCCCAATGTCAAACTTAATAGACAGGCATTCAACATAGCCCCCATGACACTTTTATATGGTATCCACTGACCCTCATAATTAAGTAAAGAGATATTGTTTAAAAATTTGTATCATGGTCAAAGGAATCTTATGTTCAGTTCTCAAAATAAAATATTTCTTGCCTATAACACAAGCATATCAAGCTGAGGCTACTTCTATCTCGAGCAATTCCCTCAGCCAAATCACATAAACTCTTTTTAAGTTAGAAAGATGAGTAAAAATAAGATCATTTAAATAAACAACTGATAGGGAAAGAATTGATGAAAACAAACTTTCCTCACTGTAAATTGCTTATTCAGCCATCTTGTGTTTTGTTCTTGGTGGTAAAATGGATGTTTTTTTTTCTTTATAGAATCTTTACTAGGAAATTCAGAAGCTCACAGGAAGTTCAAAAGATCAGTGCATGAATCTAAAGAAATTACTAAGTGGAAGAAAGCTAGTCATTATGATAATTATAAACTCAGTGATATCACATTTTATTGGATAGTAAATTTAGAGAGGGAGACTGAAAAGACAATGAGAAGCAAAACTAAATGTACAAATGTTTTTAAAATGTTGCATTAAATAGCAAAAAAAAAAAAAAAATCCTGGCAAAGTATGGTTCAGATTTTGCTAGCTCTTATAGTACACTTAAATCAGCAAATACTGTATAGCTACAGATAACATAGATATTCTAAAATTACAACATCTAGTGTCTTAGAACAGAGTGAAAACTTCAAGTTTATACAGAAATAGAGTCAAAAGATTCAAAGTTTCAACTGAATATTTCTGAAATAAAATGTGTGTCAAGGTGGTTACCTTGATGATAGCCCCCTACCTCTTTTTAACTCAGTGGTCGCCAACCAGTGGGCCGTGAGAAAATTTTGGTGGGCTGCAGAGAAATCTCACCCCCAGAGCACCCCCCCAGGCAATTAATTCAGGCTGCGCAGAAACACAAGGCTGTGCCACCCACATGGCCCGCAGGAACGCTCCCCCGCCCACTCACTCCTTACCCGGCAAAAATTGCCTGCTAAACTGCTATTTTTTTCCTTTTTCCTACCATCATCTGTTCTGCTGTGCCGGGAGATTTAGATTAGCTAGGAAGCAGGAAATGGTTGGATTTCTTGCTTTCTAGCTAGTCTTTAGATCTTCCGCTCTGCTTTTAAGCACAGCTGAACCTCTCTTAGGACTGTAGGTTCTATTATTCAGTGCAGACTCATGGCAAGCAAATTTGAGAGACTGAGGTAGCCGATGGCAGATAGATAGATCACTGAATGATTCTGTGAGCGACTCAATCTGCCTGCCTGCTCTGCCTGATTTTGGGTAAAAGTTGTTCGTTTTTAATAAAAAAATTCAATATTTACATACATGGTGTGTTGTGAATTAATTTTGTGAGTTTGCTTGCAAGCAAATTTTATGTGACAGACTGAGCTTGCCAATGGCAGATAGATTTCTGAATGAATCTGTGATTCTGTGAGCAACTTAATCTGCCTGCCTGCTTTGCCTGATTTTGGGTAAAAGTTGCTCTTTTTTAATAAAAAAAAATCAATATTTATATAAATATTTATAGTATTTACATACAAGCCATGCCCAGCCAATCCCATGACCACCAACCCACACCCACAAATTAGGCCATGCCCACAGAACTGGTTAGTGGTCACTGGGATTTAAAATTATAAGCTTGGTGTCCCTGACGTCCAAAAGGTTGGTGACCCCTACTTTAACTCATTTTAAAATGATTTTGTGCTATCAGGACATTGTTTATTCCTGGCAACTGCCTGGAATGGTTCTACAGTTTTCCTGACATGATTTCAGAAATGGTATGCCTTTGTCTTCTTGCTAGGGCTAAGCGAGCTAACTGACCCAACGTCACTCAGCTGGCTTCATGGCCAAGGTGGAACTAGTACCCATGGTTTCCCGATTTTTAACATGTGTCAAATTATTCCAACCATGTTTGGATTTTATTGTCTATAAAATTTATTTCCTTAAATTAAAATCTCCCTTGACCCAAGGTCAAGTTAGTAAGTTACCTTGTACTGTACAATGGCAGACTAAAGTTATGTACTGATCTGTATAAAATGATACACTATTATACAATAGATTTGTGGAGTTTTCTTTATAATTGGAAGCTAAAATGTTGAAAAGTGCTTTGAGCAGTGTTTTTGGATAGAACCCCAAAACGTGCTTGAGAACATACATGTCAAGACCACCTTCCTTTCTTGAGACCATTCTTTGTAGTAAGTAGTGGTATAGTATCTGGTGTAAACTTTACTGGCTATAGGACTGTGATGGCAAACCTATGGCACGTGTGCTGGAAGTGCAGGGCCACTTTTGCCGGCACGCAAGAGGTCGCCTGGAAAAGCTCCACTGTGCATGCGTGTGCACGCTGCCGACCAATAGCTGATTGTCGGGTATTTGGCGTGCATGTGCAGGGGTGCACAGGAGACACATGCACATGTGCAGAGATGTGTAGCGCCCATGGGGGGAAGCGCGTGCATGTGCAGAGGCATGTGGGGGCAGTATGCATTGCCTTTTGGGTGCTGGCATGCGAGCGCGCACGCATATTTTTCAGCACGGGAGCCGAAAAAGGTTAGCCACTACTGCTATAGAAGATACTTCTTTCCATCAATGTTAGTCTGCCTTTCAAATTAAAATTCGAGTATATTTATTTATATAATGTATATACAATTACAGTTAGCATACCTCCAACCTAAGATGTTAGAAAGGATCTTATAGCATCTTAATGTTTAGATTATATAAATAATAATAATAATTAGCTGTTAAGGCATCAGGCTAGAAAGTTGGAATTTTCATGTCCCCCCTTACGCATGAAACCCAGCTGGGTGACTTTGGGCCATTCATTCTCTCTCAACCCAACTCACCTCAAATGGTGGTGGTTGTGCAGAAAATTGGAGGAAAGTGTGTTGAATATGTTCACTGCCTTGAGTTATTTGTAAAAGTAATAAAAGGCAGAATACAAATAAATATTCAGGAATTATACCAGATGTAGTCCTGAAACTTTTGTACATTGAAACGTCCCACCAAAAACACCTTAATCATTAATAATTTAATTAAATTGTTAATGTAATCAGAAATGAGACTTCTTTTTCCACTCTATTATTATATCATTAATGGCTGTTTGTGCATTATAACCTATTTCAATGACATACTGATAGATTACATTTGATTTGACAGCCAATGTCATAAGAGTCACTTCATATGAGGTAGCCAATGTTGACAAAAAATAAGTCACTTTTAAAAATGGGGAAAAATTAAGAGAAAAACAAATTTTATAGACCTGTAGATATTTATAGTACAAATATACTTATGTACAAAATAGTATGGACTATTCTCAAGATGTCATTTCCTGCTACTCTCCCAGTTTTTTAAAAAACATTGTTTTTGCTAGATATAAAAGCAGTAGGCTATTTAAATCTGTATTCCTCATTTCCAGTCAAATAAATTTTTGCTGTATTTTCTTAACCACAACACATATTTGATAAATTCAAAGAAGCAGAACTTCTCCAAAGATTTAAAATTCCATTTCACTTTTATTCATCACTTATTTTTCTGGTTACAAACTCAATCTACCTGAGAGTGTCTTCAAAATATGCGGGGAAGAAAACAGAATTCAGTAAACTGCAAAACTGATTTTAAAAAACTGTTTTAGATCTTAGGAAAAGCAGAAAATGGACCAACATTAATCTTTAAAATATACAGTGGTGAATTCATATTCTTCCTTGTATGTACTAAACAAAATTGGAAAATACGATTGATGGAGGAACGAATCAACTCATAGCAATGTACACAAAACGACAAGTTGTACAGGTATAAAATCCCAGCCCTTTACACTAAAGAAATTCTGACTCTTGGAAAAGGGGCTACTCCTAATTCCAAGCACGGAACTCGACACATGCAGGGAGATCCTATGTTCAAGTTTTAGTTAGGCTTTCAACCTAGCACATATATCCTAGGAATAGGAAGGCAAGGAACTGATTTATGGCACCAGCACTTCTCACTTAGGTCCATGAGGTGAACGCCCAAGCAAACTTGGCCAGGATTATCAATTTAATAATACAACAAATCTAGTACTCTACTAAAGAACCCGTTTCTTTCATCCTCCGGCCCAGAATACAGAGGAAGCACGCAAAGACATTCCCCTCCCAAGGCTTCCAACATCGGACAGTTTCCCCTGCTCGGTTTCGAAGGCACCAGAGCGGCAAGCGGCAGAAATCGAGAACGGCGGAAGCCTGAGGCCTACAGAACCACATAAAGGACAGAAAAAATGGAGGAGGGGAGACGTAGAACAGAGAAATAGATACTCTCAGGCGCATTAGAAAGCCGAGTTTCCTTCACAGAAAAACAGGCGCCGCCGTTTCTCTTTCTTTCCTCCTTCCTTGAGAAAAAAGGAGGAGGCCGCAGCCTCCGCCCTATTGTCTCCCGATCCGAGGAGCTCACCTCACGACGGCGGCAGCAGCTCCTCTCAGCTGCGGACTACGGCCATGGCCGTCACGCCTACCTCCTCCTTCAACAGCATCGAGAGTCGGCCGACCGCGGCCTCCTGCCCCAGCCTTTGGCCCTCTGCTGCTGCTGCTGCCACGGCTGCTCCTGCAGCAGAGGCCATCTTGGGTGCCTCTTTGCTTGCTTCAGCAGCAAAGCCTTCCTCACTGCTAATGCAATTGCTCCCTGGGCCTCCCCTTCCTGCTCCTGGAGGGGTGGAGCAGTCCTAGACTCATCCTCCCGGCTCGCTTCTGGCGTTTGTTTCCTTCCTTCCCAAAAGGGGAAGCGGAGGAAATTAGACTGGAAAGCTCAGTTCTTTATGCCCTAAACGAAGTAGGAGGCTGAACAGAAAAAACGCCTGCCATTTCCCGCATTTTGAAACGATGTACAATCGACAATGTTTTAAGAGCGTCGTCTCCTGTATACCTACTAGAGCTCAAAACCTGTTGAATGTAAGGTGCTTCCTCCCGGAGAAGAAGGGGACTTCTTGAATAAATCCGCGCAGAATTCGGTTGTCATTTTGTTAAGCTATTCGCTGCATTCTCAGTGAAGCCTTCATAGAGCCAGAAACTGCAGCAAATGGTGAATTTCTATCTCTGCATAACCACAGAATACAGCAAATGGGATCGGCGTAAGCAATATGCCTTCGGATGTTTTCATCAGGCAGGCGTAGAAAAATAATATAAATAACAGAAACTAGCTCTATCATAATCAGATGATGCTTCTGGTTTGTTAAAATCCTGGCGACCGCTATAATTAGCATTAAAGGGTTTCCTAATTCTTCGGTGCTATCTGGCATTTTGCCATTCAGATATTTAAGCCTTCCTGCTGATGGCATCTTGTAATGTAGTTAATGCAAAATGCTAATCATTATCAAGTGTTATACACAGGAATAATGATAGTAAGTCAAAGACATTAAGGCTGTAAGAAACAAAAAGCAAAACCAACTTTACACCATTGCTATTCAATATACATTTTAGTACCTTTCAATTCTATCCCATTTATCTGAGGATTTCACCACTCCATCCGACCATAAATTTTTCACTCTTCTTTTTTCTTCATTCATATATTTATTTATTTTTATTTATTTCTCATAGATTATAATGACCAAACCACTTCACTTTGTTTCATTATGGCCATTCACTTTGTATTCAACTCATTCAGCATCTTTTCAATCTTGATGGTATTTCCTCTAGGTTTACCAGTAGCTCATTCCCACTAACACAACCAACTCTTCCACATACTGAAGTGGGTTGAAAAGATGATTTAATATGCGTTTCTACCATTTCCATGATGTAGAAAAGATGTTGAGACTCTAGAATGCAGAGAAGAGCAGCAAAGATTATTGGGGACTGGAGGCTAAAACATGAATGATTGCAGGAACTGGTATGTCTAATTTGATGAAAAGAAGGACTAGAGGTGACGTGATAGCAGGGTTCCAATATCTTGGACTGCCACAAAGAAGAGGGAGTCAAGCTATTCTCCAAAGCACCTGAGGGTAGGACAAGGAACAATGGGTGGAAACTAATCAAGGAGAGAAGCAACTTAGAACTAAGGAGACATTTCATGTCAGAACAATTAATCAGTGGAACAACTTGCTTCCAGAAGTTGTAAATGCTCCAACACCGCAAGTTTTAAAGAGATTGGATAACCATTTGCCTGAAGTGGTTTAGGGCTTCCTGCCTAAGCAGGAGGTTGGACTAGAAGATCTCCGAGATCCCTTCCAAGTCTGTTGCTCTGTTCTGTTTGGAAATTGCACCTGCTTCAAATGGCCTGTAAGGAGGTCAAGGAGTTTTCCTTTCACAATGCAATTTCCAGGGCTTTCAGAAGAACTACAGTGAAAAATAAGTGATCAGTGAGTGACGGGATGTGGGGAAGACTGGGTGGGATCCAGTGGAGTGGGAAGCAGACCTGGCATAGTGAGTTAGGGAGAGAGGAGTGATACAACATCCTTGTGATTAGTTATAAGGGTGAGTGGATTGCCAGGTGCTGGAATTTTATTCACATGACTATGCGGGCATTGTAGCAGTCATAATGTTAAAACTGGGTTGTAAGCTTTTTGGGGGTCCATCATAACTCCAAAACAGTTGCTGAGCAATTGGACATATGTTGAGGACTACCTGTATACCAGGAGTGTCAAACTCGATTTAATTGAGAGCCACATCAGGATTGTGTTTGACCTTGGAGGGCTGGGGTGGTGGGGCATGATTGGGGTGGGCGTGGGTCATGGTGGGCATTTGACACCGACTCAATATGCATTTTTTTCCTTTTGCATTCAAAACAGCTATTCCAGACAAAGGTAGATTTACTTTCTGGTACAGTCTCAATTCCATAATGTAGAGATTAAAGACATGTAGAGTCCCTGGCTGCTATGGGGCTTGAATCTTTTGTATAGAAGCAGAGCATAAATGAACAGACAATTTATCCAGATGTCTCTAAAATTGTTTGTCCAACAGTCCATCAATCTTTGCTACTACCTCTGACACAGCCCTAGAAGAGGACTTAATATTAGTAATATACAAAATTGATATACTACCCAATTCCCAATGATTCTGGATGACTCACAACAATACAGAAATTTAACAAATCAATCACAGGTAAAAGATTAAGATAAAAGATGACAAACTCAGTGATAGTAGGGGGCTCACTCTCATCAAAGACCTGGGCAAAGAGCCAGATGTTTTTGGTTCTTTTGAACAATAGCCATTCAGACCTTGGAGGGTACCTAGATCTAACTGATGCTGCTAAAGACAAGGTGAAGAAGGTGCTGTCTGCTGCAGCACTCTGTCAGCCAAAACGGGCCAAGGAAATTGATGTATCTTCTATGAGCTTCTATTTAGAAAATGATTTGAAAGATGATATAGACACCTTGCTGTACTGGGGCCTAGTCAGTTTTGGCACAACTGTATTTATGTCATTATGCTGCTGCTAAATTATTTAGATGCCATCTTGGAGAAGAAAAAAGAACAAATGTTAAATGAATCAAATGTGAAAAATTAGATCAACTTCAGGAGGCAGAGTCTCAAGGTTTAGATACAATACTTATCTCAGTAGTTCAAAGCTTAGTATGTGGTTCTCCTTATCTGGCCAGCAGAGGCACTGCAGGCTGGTCCTTTGATATTTTCAGTCCAGGCCTGCGGGCCTTGAGCTTGACACCTCTGTTGTATACTTTATGATAGCTACATTCCTGTCTGCAAAATATTGTAATTCACTAAACCATGTTCATGATAAATTAAACCAAGGAATTAAATTAAATCAAGGAGTTAAGCTTGTTATATGTACAGAATAACCCTTGAGTAACAAGGATATGCACATGGAAACGTTTATGAGAATAGTTATGAATAATTATCCAGCCACACACAGATACACTAAATTGAGTTAAAATTTACTTTAAGAAATAGCACAGTCCAATAAACGGTCCAGGTCATATACGTAATTACAGTCCAAAGAATATCCAATTACAAAATCTTACCGGTTGCCTTTGTCATTTCCAGTAAACAAAAATATCAAAGTATAAGCACAGCAACAGAAAACTTAGATAGCAACAGAATGTCAGAGATACAGAATGTCAGAGAGAACAAGCCATGATCTCTAGTTCCCTCTTATGGCAATTCACAATACAATCAACCAATCGGAACATAGTACAAATCAATACAGTAACTTTGTCTTAAAGCTACAAACATACATTGTTGGTTTATATATTGCCAACCCAACTAATTGGTGGACAGATTCCTAACAAAGCTAAGCCAAAGTATGTCAGGATACCTGAGATTTACTCCAAACTTCAGATTAGAAAATACACAATAAATTATATTTCTTTTAAACAGTGGAATTGGCTAAGTAAAAATGTATGCTTCTGCCAATTTGGAGAGTTGAATATGTCATAAACATAAATGTAAGCTGAATGTAATAGATGTAGGTGTACATATGGATCTGAATGTAGCAAAATCATACCTTTAGGAATGAATGGGTGATGAATGAATATATCACAATACAAAAGTGAATGTCCAGTACAAATGAAAACATTGAGATGATAGGTGAAGAGAGAAAATGAAAGTATGAAGGAAAATGGAATGGATTGACAGTAACAGAAAACTAAGAAAATCACAGTTGGATGGAGACCTCAAAAGCAATTGAGAAGTTTAAGGAAGAAAATGCAATGCAGAAGCAATGTGGAAAATATAGTTTGCCTGAAACTATATTGTGAATGGTTTGGCTTAAGTCAGATTTCACTTTTTGTTTCTTTCTTTGATACCTTTCTTCCTTTGTCTTACTATACAGGTAGTCCTCATCTTATGACCACATTTGGGCCCCAAATTTCTGTTGCTAAGTGAGATATTTGTTAAGTGAATTTTGCCCCATTTTATGACCTTTCTTGCTACATTTGTTAAGTAAATCACTGCAGTTGTTAAGTTAGTAACGTTATTGTTAAGTGGATCTGGCTTCCCTATTGATTTTGCTTGTCAGAAGGTCACAAAAGGTGATCATATGGCCATGGGGATGCCGCAATGGGGATAAGTGTAAAAAACGGTCATCACTTTTTTCAGTGCTGTTGTAACTTCGGAATGTCACTAAATGAATGATTGTAGGTCAAAGACTACTGACAATATTATGCTTTGCATAATTGTGCTTTCTCCAAAAGGTTATACCGCATTACAGTTATGCATGTATATGTCAACAATAAAATGTGTATATAAATTGCAGGTCCATGTTCAGACATTCCCAATTGGTTGTAGCAGTCTAAATATAAAAGTAAAATATTCTTATAGTTAAGCTTTACTCCTGCTTGCAGGATCTTGCTTAATAAAAAAGAAATAGCATGATGGATATGAATGCATGCATTACCAGCAAACCTGCTGCACTGTGTAATAAATTCAGCTTCCTGGCAAAAATCATTTAAATGTACTGTATGAGTTACTGTGTTTAAGCAAAACTTTTCCATATATTATCTTAACTTTAATATTAGGAAAAAAGCTAGTGACAAAAATTCTAGGATATAAAAAATTCTTTTATCAAATAGCTATTTGTCAATGATATACATTTTATCATTTTGCCCACATCATTATGGGGGACTAGAACAGTTACATGGTTTGCAAATTGATAGTTTAAAATTTCAGAAGGAATTAAGAAATCTGATCAACAAAATTATGTATAGTATACTTATGCTCTCTGTTGTTACAATGATATAAAAACCAGTGATTTTTTTTTTTGCAAAACCATGTGGCTTACGTGTATTAATTAAAATTTTAGATGCCTGCATGATTTGAATTTTGTAATGTACAGTCCAAACATGCACACGCAGAAATACATACACCCTTATATACAGTATTTTCAATTTAAGCCTGTAGTCACAGGTATGGATGAACAAAAAGGACTGCACTTTTTGTTGGAGGACAAAGGATTAAATAACAGTCAGGTAAATAAATAGAATCTTTGATTTGTATACAATATTTCTTTTAGATACATCTTAAATTTGTAGTTTAGGTATTATTGATGCTTAGGTTTTATTTAGGTTTTGTTGATATTCAGTTTTGAGTATATAGTTTTAACACCTCCGTTTACACGAATTTACCTCCAGTGTGGGTGTAGATTCCTGAAACAGGTGTTGCACTGGATTTCCAGATTCATGTATTTATTCAGTTTGTGGAGTCTTAGGATTCCTTAAATGAGCTTCACTAAAATTATTCTTTTCAGTAAAATACCTGAAATTCAGGAAATCTGATGCTTGCTTTAAAACAGGGGTGTCAAACTCCTGGCCAGTAGGCTGGATGCATCATGCACTGGCCACGCCCACACCCGGTTTAGCAAATGGGGAAAAAGTCCTGATATGTCACGTAACGCCATCATGATGATATGAGTTTGATGCCCCTGGTTTAAAATATTTCAAAATTGTGAAAGAGAATATCAAAAGACAGAACTCAGGAAGAATGTCACAAAAGCTTGCTGCATGAAAATGTTGCTCTGAGCACTAAGTTTCTTTTCTGTGGTATACTTGAATTCAGTGGTATAAACTTCCATGTTCCTTTGCAAAGTAATCAGGTTTTCTTTTCATTTTTGGTCTTCAGCAATCTTATAGGTTCTATCCCCCTCTGGATACTTCCCAAAAGGATTACACTGAACTCTTTCAGCTGTACTGGTTGTAGAAAGTCAGCACCTATCCTCCTCCTAGAAGAATAAAATAGTTTGAGGAATATTAAAAAGGCAGAATATTATGTTTTCCTAAATGCGAAATGGAGAAACATGTTGGAACTGAACCAGATGGATATTTCTTTCCACATGGTGAAGACTGGATTTTTCTAATTGTTGGCCTTGACTCTTAAAGGAGCTGCATAAATACAGTTTTTATACCTGAACTGTTAAGAGGAAAGAAAAAAAGATGGCCCCTAGATGGCAGCACAAAAATACAGAAAAATCTTTGGTGTCAGTCTCTTGCTCAGTCTAGAGACCAAGGGTCTTCAAACTTGACAATTTTAAGGCTTGTGGACTTCAACTCCCGGAATTTGTCCTCAAGTCATGTTAACTCAGGAATTCTGGGAGTTGAAGTCCACAAGTCTTAAACTTGCCAAGTTTGAAGACCTTTGCTCTTGACAAGGAAGGTGTTTTGTCTCACCCCAAAAGGAAAAAAAAAGGCGTCCTGAAGATATATTTGCATTAGCTAGTTTAGCCAAAACAAATATTGGAAGAATCCCAGAAAGATTTTGCAAAGCATTTAGAGCAAGGTGTTGGTTAGGAGTTTTTGCAATTTTAGACTTGCAAACTGCAGGGAACATAGAATAAGAGTTGGAAGCGACCTCAAAGATCTTCTGGTCCAACAGGAGATCCTATACCATTTCAGACAAATGGTTGTCCAGTCTATAAACTGGAAATGCCTTCAGTGATGGTATACCCACAATTTCTGAAGGCAAGTTATACCATTGGTTAATTGTTCTATCAGGACATTTCCTTAGTTCTAGATTGCTTTTCTCTTCGGTTAGTTTCCAACTATTGTTTCTTGTCTAGTCTTTTGGTGCTTTGGGAAATATGATCCCCTCATACATGTAGTAACCCCTCAAATATTGGAACTGTGCTATCATGTCCCCCTGGTACTTCTTTTCATTAGACTAGACATGCCCAATTCCTGTAACGATTCTTTGTATGTTTTAACCTCCAGCCCCCTAATCATCTCTCTTTTCAGAATTTCAACAGTTTTTGTATTGTAGTGGCCAGAACTGGATGCAGTATTCCAAACGTGATCTTACTAAGGCTTTGTAAAGCAGTACCAGAACTGCATGTGATCTTGATTCTATCCCTCTATTAATGCAATTTAGGATTGCATTGGCTTTTTTGGCTGCTGCCACACACTGTTGACTGAAACAAGAATTCTACTTATAGTCAAGAACGTCCAACATTACAAATGATTTTGACACCACATAATTCTGAATGTCCCAAAACATTCAGCTGAACAACAGTAACATACCTACATAGATATGTTTTCAATCATTATTATTTTTCCTTGTAGAAAACCTTATTTTAAGGTAACCTCTGTTTCTGGTCTTTTTCTTTCCTTCCTTCTTTTTCTTCTCCCTCCTTCTAAATATAAGGTATTGGCTTGTCCTTCTCTTGTTCACTGATTAGACTCCCATTTCATTTTAGCAAGCTTCCAGCTTTATTAATTTCAGTAAGTCAACAATAAACTTCAGCTGATACAAAATGCAGCCATGAGGGTGCCAAACAATGGTGCACATAAGACCTTTGCTGCATAAACTGCGTTAGGTGCCAGTCTACTTCTGGATACAATTCAAGGTGTTGGTTATGACATTTAAAGCCCTACATAGCATGGCGCCAGAACTGTCTTTGCCCCATCACATCAGCCCATCCCACTAGGGCAGATAGGGAAGGTAAGTTGTACACACTGTCAGTTAAAGAACTCCAAGTGATGGGGTCCAGGAAGAGAGGCTTCTCTGCCATTGCCCATGCCCTTTGGAACATTCTTCCCCCCAGAGGCAGCGTGTGTCCCCACTCTCCTGGTCTTTTGAAAATATCTAAAGACCTGGCTCTGTCATCTTGCTTGGGGCTCACAGATGAGCACACAGCTGTGGGGGTGGTTAGCACCCTGAAAGCCCCCCCCATCTTTTATTAACTTTTAATTCAACTTTAACTATCCTTACCTGTATTTTAAATTTTATATTTAGTTCGCATGTTTTTAAAATTTTACTTGTACACACCCCCGAGTTCCTCTGTGAGGAAGATGATCAGTTTCTAAATTTGATAAACAAACATACAGGTAAATTAATGCCTTGCATGCAGCTTTCCGCACTATTTTGTACTATGGCACTATACAGAGGAATACATAATTATCACTGTCCATGTGGCTGGACCTGCTGGAAATTGTAATCAGCAAATCTGGAGCATAAAAGCATTACATTTTGAGGAGCACAAAAAGAATTATTTGATGATTAATCCAATCATATCTGATGCACTGATTAAAACAACGGGAAGACCAAATAGAGGCACACCTGTTTTAATTAGATAACAGCTTCCATTTAAAATTCATTTTTTACCATGATAATTATTGGTCTCAAAGCTAATAAGCAGGATGTAGCTTCCATTAGATGTAAGGGAGTTGGTATTTACCATTAGTTGAAATATAGCAAATAGTATTTACCAATATGTTGGAGAGGTACTGGCATATTCCTTGCAATATGGTCAGTTTTGTTTTAGGTCAGGGTTAAGTTGGAGTTATCTTCATAACAGACTTTATGTCTTGTATAATCAATTCCTTATAAATTCCTTGTAAACTGAAAATCAATTCCTTGTGTGTTCAATCACATTTGGACAATAAAGAATTCTATATTCTATTAATTGATACACCAGGTAGAAACACTATACAGAAGTGACATTTTAGACCGTATCACGTATACATTAAGGCTTTGGACCAGGGCTGTCAAACTCATGGCCCAAGGGAGGGACGTGGCTGGCTTAATGGAGGGGGAAAAGTTGTGATACATCACATGATGATGCCTTGACTGAGTTTGACACCCCTGCTTTGGACTATTGAGCTGTTTCGCCAGATGATACAGTTTTATATGTACACAAGGAAATTACTCATGGTTTCTCTTGATACCAATGTAATAATGTTTTGGTACAAAACTCAGGTAAAGAATACTGCATAGGAAGACTTAATTTGTTTTTACAATGCACTTAAAAACACTTGCTGCCAGAGAACGGAAGAGGTCCAGGGGCCTGAAAATTCATCAAGAGACACATTAAATTACACAGCTGGCTATTTTTAGGTGATTTTAAAGAAAATTGATTTTCATTACTGTGACCATGATTCTGATTCATAATAAGGCTATTAAAATACAGTAGTAACGAAATATCAAAAATATTATTTTCAGCTAAGTGAAAAAAATCCTTAAAAATTGCACCATTCATCAAACCCAGGTAGCAGCTGTAAAGAGAGATTCAACATTTCAGATTTAACCTTTTGCCCTTTGAGTTTCATGACAATTAGGCAGTTTTTACAAATCTAATACATTAACAAATACATAAAAATACGGTCCTGGATCTTTGGCTTGGCAGCAGAGTTTGTTCCTTGGTTCTGGTAATTTAAAAAAAAAACTTTTCTTAATTCTTGATAAAGCGAATTACACCCCCTTGAATTCAGACTCCACATTAGTGAGAATGCAAATCATTCTTTTAGCTGGTTTACTTCACGCAGCTTGAAGATGCTGAGTGTTTGAAGGAACGAAAGCTAAGAGCAATATTGCATTCTGAACTTTAGCTCCGGGGTAGACAATCGGAACGAGGCAGAGACTTAACCAAATCGAGTCGTGTCGGAGCACGAAAGGCGGAAGGAAGGATAATGAGGAAGGAGCATGGAGCCGCGATCCTGTTCTTTGATAACATTCGGGGCTCGATCCTGTAAGCCTCCCCAACTACTACCATTCCACCCTCCGTTGCTGGATTCTACCCTGTCAGTCACCCCAGAATAGTCCGGCGCGCCTTTACACGGGCCCTGAGGCGCCTGCGCAGTTGCCGTAATGTAAGCTTGGGCGGTTCCTCCTGCCGGCTTTGCTCCGCCGTTCACTTCTCCTCCGCCCCCTCCGCGGAATCGTCCTCGTCACCGCCGCCTTCAGCCGAGAGAGAGGAACGGAAGAGGCGCGCCTCCTCTTTTCCCTCCACGACGACAACGGTAGCGGCGGCGGCAGCAGCAGCAGCAGCGACACCCTCCCGAGGGAGCGAGCTCTGGGTGAGGGGCGACGGAGGCGAGGCTCGCTCTCCCACCGGGGGCGCTGTCTTGTCCGGCATGCGGAGTGGAGGTGATGTGCTAAAGAGAAAGGCGAAAAGGAACGTTATGAGTGAGTAGATCTTTGCTTGGAACCGCTGGCGAGCTTTCACGCCTTTGGGGCGGCTGAATCCAATTGCCTTTAGTGTATTCTGGCTTCGGGTCCTGAATTTAGGTTTCCTCTCCTCTCCGCTCCAGATCTTTTTTTTTTTTTTGGGGGGGGGGGGGCGGGAAATCACCGGACAGGCGCGTGGTGAAAGTAAATCGGTGCACTTCGTGGAGAGTTGACGTCTGCTCCGAGAAGGAGGTCCAGCCGCAGAGGAGCCCCGTCCCGAAATCTCTTTGGCCTTGTAATTGCTGTCCAAACAAGCTGAAGGGTGGCGACCTTAGGCAGCTCAAAGTGCGTGGGCTGCCGAAGTGAACTTTTGAGGTGCTTTACGCTCGTCGCGTACTTTATTTTATTTTGTTTTTAATGGAGAACTTGGCTAGGATGGAGCGTGGTTGCCGGTGATGCTCGCCTTTTCTTGCGGCTTAGTGAGTCCGCTTCAGAACGCGGTGGATGAGATCCGTGAGAAGGGAGGCACTTACAGGAGGGCACAATCGCGGCGTGCTTAAGGTGAACTTGAGCGATGCCCTAGTCTAGTGAGATACAGGAAATGCGTGATGAGAGGAGGGATGTCGTTCAGGCTTTTTTCCCCCGTGCAAAAAGCAGTGGTTTTTTTTTTATTTAAGTAAATGGTTTAGGTAGAGAAATAAATCGATTTTCTTTAGATATTATATTGCAATTCATTTGTAAAGATCCGAATATGGAAGTTTAATAAAATTCTAACAAATCTTGGGTACACTTAGTTGAACTAACTGTGTAAACTGTGTTATTTACAGACAGAGAAGTGAACATAAAAAACAAGTATAAACTGGATCTAAATGCAATATGTAAGACTAGTTAATTTTGTTTTTGCTGAAATTTACATGCATGTTAGCCTTGGAGTTATGATAGGAAAGTCAGACTCCAGGAGCAGGATTTTGCCAGTATTTCAGGGTGGACTGAGTTCTGTGAATTAATATATGTTAAAATATGAATGAACAGTTGTCATATTTGTATAATTGCATTTAAAGGCAAATCTTATTAAAAGGCTTTAGAATTGGTCAAGATTTTTTATAAAGACTCATTTGCAGGCAAAATATTAATTTATCTAATTAACATAATTGCCCAATTCACACATAGGTAGGCTAATTATGGTTTGTTGTATTGTGGAAATACAATGAACCCTAATTAGCCTATGTATATGTGAACTCAGCAATACTCTCTTATTGTGATAAAATATAAATGTCATGAAAGTAATCCTAAGAAATATATTTGAAGCAGGCATTCTGAAAATGAATCTAGAGATGTATTCATACTGTAGATACTTTTATGATGAAGAGATAGCCAGTTTGGTATAGTGGTTAAGGGACTGGCCTAGAAACCAGGAGACCAAATCCTAAGCTTCCCTTAGGCATGAAAGCTAGCCCAGTGCTGACTCTGAGACAGCCCAATCCACCTCACAGGATTGTGGTGGGGAAAATACGCAACAGTATTAACTACATTCATTGCCTTAAGTTGAGTGTGTGTGTAGATATAAAAATTATTAATTTAATAGGAACTTATATCCCTGATAATTTGGTTCTGAAGAACATTTATTGAAGCAAGTTTTCTAGTCTAACTAGGATTCAGGGAGTTACATTCCCAACATATTTAGAGCTGCCAAGTTATAGAAGGCTGTTTAAAACTTTTGCTTTACTGTTGAAAAGAAACAGGATTTATACTGTAGTGCAAATCTGTGTGTGTTACGAACAGGAGAATCTACTGGAGCAGCTTTCCCACCCATTATAAATAAAGTATCTTGCATTGGAATGCAATGGAATGGCTGTAAATGCTAATAAAGCCTAATTGAATGTGCTAGTTGAACATTAGAGTGCATGCTTCAAACGGAAGATTTATGCTTTTTCCTTCATATTTCTAATGAATGATTTTTAGTCATAGGCCTGAAAATGCTCCATTTAAAACCTTGAAGAACCATATGGGGATAGATAGCATTGAACTGACTGGCTCAAATGTTCATTCAGTGTGATATATGTACATTTATATCTTGTGCCAAAAGTATTCAACTTCGTTTGGTACATACTGAGGTTGCAGGCATGCTTTCAGTGTTTGAAGTTAATTTTTAATAAGTTAACTTAAGCAAATGTACCACTACCAACATTCATAAATATGGTTTAAATTTAAAATATGTAGCAGGTTTGTAGTTCCTAATATATAAGAATTTATTACTGGTGACATGGATCAAGAATAAGACATGGCATGTCCTGTGATAGTTTAAAGTCCAGTGCGTGCTGTGATGTTTCTAATCTGCAGCAGCCTATTTCTTAGAGTAACCTTTGCCATTTGTAATAGCAATCACTCCCCTCATTTAAGTTTTTTAAAATATTGCATAAGACCTAAAAGACCTATTTCAAAAACATTTCATGTTGTTACTTCACTGATTTCTAATTCTCTGATAATTCACAACAGATTATCAAACCAGATCAGTTTCAGTGGGAAAATAAAAATATCTGAATTGATTTTAAGTATATTTTTTAAATCAAGCACCTTTGTATTGTTGAGAATCTATATATTAGAGATATTTTAGCATAGAGGAAATATCTTAATGCTCTTAAATCCTGAACACTGATACTTTTTATGTTTTGCAAGGAAAACCTTGTAATTATTCCATAATATTAGGTATGTTCACCTCCTTAAATTATATATAAAAAGGTAGGATAAAAGGTAGAAGTAGAAGAAACATAGCATGGATAAACATACATAGTGAGATAAACCAACCCTCAACAATTGTAAAATTAACGTTTTTCCAGAACTATTTTCCCTGCTTCTTAGGAATAAAAAAATTCTTAAAGCTTTTCATTTTTTATTAGCCTTAACTTTTATGTGATTATTATTTTCCTATTATTCCAGTATTAGTGATATTGAAAAATAATATATTTTTGTGAATTTTTACTTCAGAATGTAATATTTATGTCTGAAAAACATGGATAGAATTATCCTGTTCTTTGCTGTACTGTATAGAAATTACTATATGAGCTTTTCAAAATATACTATTTCAAAATATATTATTTAAGGAATAGAACTAATAGAGGGAAGGAATTGAAGATTGTGTATAATAGAAAGAAATGGTGTAGTAGGAATTAAGATTGTGGAAGGATATGGTGGTGGGCCTAGAGTTGAAAAATGGAGGTAAAATTGTTCAATTAGCAGCCATTATTTTATCCTGAGCATCGGAAGGAACAGACTGATCTGGAAAATTAGAATCTCCCTACTTTCTTTATAGAATGTGAATTATAGATCCCCAAAAGAAAGCATAGATCCTATCTAATTTACCAGAAAATAAATTTGCATATTTAGTTGTTTTTTCCCCAGGAACACATTGCGGTAATATGGCTTACTTTCAGATTTGGTCAGAATAGAACGAAACAACACAGAGCTAATCTTTAATAAGCATGAGATATTTTTTCTTGTACTTTGAATGTCAGTTAGCTGTATGCACCTCTCAACTGATGTTTTCTTATTTTAATGGTGAATGCCAACAATTCATATGATACTTCTATCACTGTGGCCTAACAAATTTGTGAAAATTCTCACAAAGAAGAACAACATGACCACAAAGCAGCACACTTTCCATTTTGTCTAACTTGCAAAAAGAGGGCCTTCATTTTCTCTAAAATTGTTCATTATGTAGGAAAGGCTCAAGAAAAGGCATTGAAGGGTTTGAATTCTGTCTATAAATAGAGCTTATGGTTGAAACTTTAGTTTCTAGCATTCTTTCATTATGGCTTACAATTTTCTACAATAAAAATAAGTTACCGGGTGTTTTTGGATTCCATTCCTCTTTTGCCAGCTGAAGCTTGACAGAATGTCTTTACAAACATGAACTGAGAGACCAGGTTGGGAACCTCTGCTTCACAAAGACAGAGTCAGTTGGAACATGAGATATGAAAATATGACAACCAAAAATGATATGAAATTGTGAGAATATAAAGTTTAAAAAAAGATATTGCATATTTAGGAATAGATGAGCTTAGGGTGTAATGGAACATTTCAGTCCAGATAATTGCACAGTTTACTATCTGTGCCTGAAACCACAGAAAGAAATAGAAATAATTGCTATATCTCAATAAATAATAAGATTATGCCATTGCAGCAAGTGGATATGAAATGAACACCACTGTTTACCATAAGACATTGATAAATCATTGAGCAAATTGCAAGAGGTGTTAAGTCGGGGTGGGCTGCTACTGATTCGCACCGGTTCAGGTGAACCGGTAGCAAATTTGATCATTTTTAATTACTGGTTCAGCGAACCAGTAAATCCCACCTCTGGTTGGCCCCGCCCACCCTACACTGCCCCTTCTAGGAGTCCCCACGTGGCCCGTTTTGGATGCCAGGTAAGTACAGGGCCTGCATGGAGGCTTGGGGAGGGCAAAAAATGGGCCTCCTGGAGGTGCTGGAAGGCTGGAAATGGGCCCGTTTCTGGCCTCTGAAGGAATTCCAGAGCTTGGGGGAGGCCATTTTCACCCTCCTGGAGGTTCGGGGAAAGCCTCTGGAGCCTGGGAAGGGCAAAAATGCCCCCCCCCCCGTGGTGCAGGGAGCCAACTAGGCCACAGCCACCATGGCCGCGGCAACCCAGCAACCGGGCAGAGAACTGGTTGCTGAAATTTTTGAAGCCCACCCTTGTGGTAAGTGCAATATCAAAGAAGGACATTGTATTGTTAATGGGCTTCCCAGTGTTAATATATGACAGATGAACAGTTAGAAAGTGAAAAAAATAGCCCATCATGAAATTATAAATTCAAAGCTGATCCCTAATAGTTTTGTGGACTGCAAGAAGAGCTAGTCAGTCAATCCTGGGCTCAATGGCTGAGAGGCCCTTGAGATAGTTATCAGCAAATACAAAATATATATTCTACCTATTTGTTATGTGCATGGATGAAGGGTTAGAAAAATATGTACAATGCTTAATGTGGTTGAAATAGAGAAAA